CCCCCCCCCCGAAGTCGACACCAGGTACTTGTGAGGCTTTTTTTATGTTTAAATTAGGAAAGACCGGTAGTTTTACAGGACATTAAAAAACTCTTGGAGTATTTTCAAACGCACATAGTATAAGTCTATCGTAAATCATTAGCATTTCAACCTCCCTCTGACTAACGCTCACTCCAAGCAGAGTCACAAGATTCCGTGACGCCGTTATGTATTATAAACCGCCATTCAGTTGGTGGGCGTTGTTGAAAAAAAAAGACGCCCATCTCGACTGGCGTATGGAGCATAATTTCTCTTTACATTTCACTGTGACCCATCTTTATACATAAAAACATTTCCAGACGTCTATTAGATAATATAGCCATCGTCTAAAATCGCGCAGGAGACACGGATTTTCCCTACCGCGACCGTTACGTGTCAGCGGTGATTTTCTCTCTTGTTGTCCCTGAAAATGTTTGCGTGAGGGGGTGTCTTGTCATAACAGCAGAATCTTTTTTATTATCTTAGTAGGTGGAACATTAGGCTGTGCTCGTTTAATGTTTGCGGTTTAGTTTACGCGGTTTACATTCCTTTCACTTATAGAAGAGATGCGATATTGTTTTGGTTTACGCTTATTTTTGAATCGATGTGTCTAGATACTAGTATTTAAATACATTTATAAGGCATTTGAAGGTCCTTCTTGAAGATGTTATAGAACATTGTTCCTACAGAAATTATTGCCTTTCAAAAATAAATAAATAAATAAGTTATTAAAAAGATGAAAAATAAAATAAGACCCACATATACGCGATGCACTTAGGAGATTGAGAGGACTATCGCGAAGAACTGTGTTAAGTAATAACATATGTGGCGAAATAATAGTCAATACATTTCCAAGGCCGCCTGCGGCATCACGTGAGAGTCATGGTGTTACTCTTTATCAACACAGTTTGGCGTCTTTTATTTGTTTCTTTTTTTCTCTTTGACATTACCATTAAGGCAATTTTCTCGACAAGTATCATGTCATCCGCGGGTCTTGGTTGTCTTAAGTATTAATAATAAAGCGTGTATATGTAATGTGCTGCTTATTGATGTACAGCCATATGAAGGGACACGATGGGGGTTGAATTAGGTCTATTTCTACCCTGACGGTGAGACAGCCATTTTGTGAAAAAAAGTCTGAAATATGGCGTGGGGTCCAGACCCCCTTGATAATATGTTTTTTTTTTTTTTTTTTTTTGCATGTCGGCATCGATCTCCTGCATCGATCTCAAAAAAGACAATTTTGGCTTTCAAAATGCCTGAAATAAAAAGTAAAGAACGCAGCCAAACAGAAAAGACACACACTTTGATGGACTCATCAGAAAGATACTGCACTATCAACACAGAAAGAGAGATAAAAAAGACAAAAGCATCCTATAAGCGAAATGAACAACACGCAAACCCGCATACTATTATATGTAGAGAGAGAAGCAAATGAATTTAGAAACATAATTATATGCTTTGCAGAAATAATGCTAGAAATAGCGTAGGTCGATATGATGAATAATTGTGTAAGGTTTTATATTTTGCACATTATATGGAGTTTAAGTATACAGATATCAGTCATTAGTCAAAGTGCAATAGAATCTTCAGATTTAAGATAAAAAACTTATCGACTCGAGATCTTTGGTGAAATAAGAGCCTGCCTTTTAGAAATAGGGGTCTTTCCACAAAAAGTGAATATTTGAGTCAGGTCAGTGACGTTAACATTTTGAGTAATGTTTTCATATTGTTTTATTTATCACATTATAATTACTTTTAAATTATTTTCATATCGGAAGCGTCCATTGTATAACACAGAGAAAATAATGGAGCAAGGCAGAATTATGCAAATATTACACGAAATATTTTGCGTCATTATGCGACCATTTTTTTGAGTGACCCTCTGATGCGACCTAAATGTTCATTTTTTTTTTTGTAGAGTGACCCTCTGATGACACCTAACACGAGAGGTGAGCGAGACACACACTCCAGTGGACACACGTCCATGCCATCACGAACTGACCTTGATAAATACAACCACAAATATCCGTGAATATTTCAGTCTGTTTTAACTAGCCCCGAGACATTAAAAACTATTTTCTTCCTAACGAAGGTCGTGGCCATTTTATGGCAAATGAAGACTGCATATTTTGTTGTCACCGTGATAGTTTGCCACAAGCGCATTATTGCCCTGTAACGGCGCTGTCATTAAGATTCCTATTTACTACCTCCTGCCTGCAAATTTCCTCAATATCTTCACATTTTATCGCTGTGCATAGACATATCTTAGAAAGAATTCGACATAAAGGAGTGAGCAGTAAGAAGGTGTAATGGCTTTAAGGCTGAAGAAATAGCATTTTGCCGACTGCATTATGTCTTCTTCCCAATGCAAGCCGCCGGCGTCGTCTCTAGAGCTATTTTCTGGATTTTTTTTTTTTTTTTTTTTTGATGTGGAAAGTATTCCTGCGGCGAGCACATATACCATACTCCAAAACCCATCATAACTAATAAAGTCTAACAGTAACCTTTCATAAAAATCATAGATTCATAAGGAGTAGGGGGAATCTCTTTCTCTCTCTGTAAAAAAAAAAAAATCTTCTCAGACTTCGCTGAATATGTTTAATTATAAAAATAGAACCGATCAACGTCTTTGTCTTTCTGTCTTAAGATACCCTATCTGAAACCGTGACCTTTCCCGTTGGCAGTACATTCCCTGCACGATATGGCAGTGCCCCCTTGGACCAGGGCTCCGTTGTTCTCCCATATTATAACTTGCGCTATGTTTACAGCTTAGCAAAAATGAGGAATGGGCCTGAAAAATCCCTGGAACACAGGGGAATGGGTTTCTTTATGCACTTACATAGCAATAAAGGTTGCAGCCTAGATACAAATAGGTCTTGAGCAAGTTGGGTGATTATTTATGGGGAAAAGCAATTCTCGGTGCGTTCGGTCGAAATCTACTCAAGCTCGTTACGTTCAAAGAGAATTTAGACCGAGAGTGGACCTAACTTGCAACACCAAACGGCTACAACGAAGACAACGCAGAATATAGATGCAGAGTGAGTAAAATACAAACTTGTCGTCTGGCGACAATGGTCTGTCGTTCCAAAATGGTCCAGTCTGAACAGACTGAAATAAACAGACTGAAATAGAGAATGGCACAATGATGCAGTTTCTTCCTATCGCACTGCATATCTAAGCACAGAAGGGGCCGCCCAGCTATGTCCTTTGGAAGGCTTTTACTTAATATTCAAAATTGGGCTTTTTCTGTATTATAATGGTTTGTCATAGTGCTCATAGTGGGCACAGAGCACAAACTTTTTCATCCAGTACAATTGAGGGTTTTTACACGTTCCGAGTGAACAATATCTTGCTTAAGTATTCCTGTGGTTGTCGTAGATCTCTATAGTTACCTAAATGAACCGTACCTGGCAAAAAACAACTGACTTATTTTATTGCACATGCGCTTCATAAGGGTTTCAACTGTATAAGAAAAAAAGGAAAAGAAAAAAGAATATCATTATGGCGTTAAACAGCTACATGTCGCACGCTCATGACTCATTCAGATCGGTTAAATAATCTTATTCTGCTATTTAATCTCACCAGCTCTCATTTTCCTTTTCCCCTGGTAATACGCCAAGTACACAGAAGATTTCGGTGCAATCAATCGTATTTTGGGTTCTCAAATGCCGGCATTTTTTTTTCTTTTTTGCATATCTACTCCTTATCCACTGTTGTTTCCCTTAAATCAATAGAGTGCATACAGACATTACACTTCTGGTGCACTTCTGTTCTGAAATAAACTAATTAACACCGATCTGTTACTACCATTGACTCCGAGTGTTGAGTTTTGCTGTTTTTTAGGTAATCCCTTTCGGAGCAAAATGACTTCAGCCGGTAAAAAAACTCAGCACCTGGATCGCCAGATCTAAACAAAACTTCAATCACGATAAAACATGATTAACTCTACTCCAAACATTTCATAAACCTACCTGATATTTTTCCTTTTTAACTTGGTGTCTCAACTTTCACTGGTGTTATTATGGACGTAAACAGTCGTAATCTTGACTGTGCGGCAACGAGGTCTCTAGCTCGGCAGTGAAAACGCCCAAGACGGATCGAATAGCAGTTGGCTGATGCCTGAACGCTAACCCACACACTTTCTCCACCTGTTTACGGCCCTCGATATACTCGTCATGTGACTGCACCGCGGCAAACCAGCTTAAACGTACACCTCTACTGCTTTGCCGTCTGGGAGGCTACATGTAACAAATAAGGGCTACAATATGTGAATGATTATATAAAATGGACTATGTGTTGTAAATAGTAGAGTTGCATCGTATTGCTAGTGTGTTATTATCGTTATCTTTTCTCTATTTTTTTACGATTTTATTAAATATTTAATGCGTGTGTTTGTAAGTGCGCGCCAGGGCCGGATTTATGTATAAGCACGTGCTTCGGACACCTCCACTAAGGCCCAAGGGTCTCAAAGCTGCTAGAATAGCACAAAATAGATAGATAGATAGATAGATAGATAGATGGATAGATAGAAATTGAAAGAGCAAAAAAAAGTAAAAAAAAGTAGTAGAACAAAGAAGTACATAGCGGGATTTTTAATGTGTTATAGGGGCAGGTGGTGCTGGGAGTGCTATGGGCACCAAGGGGCTTACTTCGGGCGTGTGCGTATGCGTGTAGGCCTATATGTATGCGTCTCGGGCCCGTAGCCAGTGATTTCAAATGGGGGGGGTGGGGGTCTTTTTCTGAAAAGGTGGGCCTTTCACCATGAAACCTTCTAGCACCAAGATTAATTTTTTCCCGGGAATAAAGGCGGTTCATATGAACGCCCCAAACACCCCTCCTCCCCCGCTACGGGCCTGCGCCTCGAACCATTTTCAAAAATGTCCCTCAGTTGGTGAAGTGTACGCTTATCCATGTTTACTACAGTGATTTCAATTGCACATCATTTACGTTAGTCTGCATATGACCCGATGTAGGACTAGATAGTATGAATAAAAAACAACAAACCAGTCTTGCCAAAATTTATATTAACATTGCAGCTGGCGGGAAATAACATGCCCTCAATGAGAAACAAATAGCGTGCTACTTTCATAGACGCTCATAAAACCTGTAACCTATTTTGTTGCCGCGTTAACAGGACCAAACAGCACATTAAGCGAGGATGCGAACTACTTAATCTGAACTCAGAATTCGGGATGCGTTTATTCATAGGATTTCTGACATTCTAACTCTCGTAATACAGAAATATTAGTCTTCATCGAGTTATCCGCGGTTGCAAACAATGGAGCTCATTTGAGATTGAAAGTCACAAAATGAGATGGCCTGTCAGACTGGTATTCACATTTTGATTAAAAACATATCTGAGTCGGATAAATTCACATTAAAATGCAAAAGTGACCTGCAAGCAAACTCATCAGTGTCAGAGAAAATGGAATACATCTAAATAAAGCTGGCGAGTGTGACTAAAGGACGAAAAACTTAATTATTATTATAATTAAATGTGAACAATGGATTGCCCAGCCGTTTTGCACATATAATAAATTAGAAAATGAACGATAATCGGATGAATGAATAATAATAATAATAATAATAATTTTCATTGGTTCATTGTAGCATGTTCTAATGTCAGGTTTTCCGTAACAATTACACATCGCAATAATCACATTTTCCAATATAAGATAAAGACATGATGTCTATCACTCATTGCTATATTACGGATAAAAGGAACCCCGAAAAAGAAAAAAAAGTCCAGTGAGCGAACCTGACCGGCCTTACCTTGATAGTCAAACTAGTCTGGACTAGTCTGGTTCTGCATTAGTTTTGTGCTATTTATATAGCTAACATTGCATACGTACATATCCAGGGCAGCGAAAGAGCACTTGCTGTTTAACCTTTATATCGATGTTCTTGCATATTTACAATATACTGGAGATGAGCTCTTGTGTTATATTATGACATATCTGACAGCTGGACCTGTATGGTGCCTACCCTCTACCAGGGCCACAGATTGATTTTTCACAAGATATTCACAGATATGTCTCTGTTTAATCTCTGTCGTCTCAACAAAAAATCCACAGAATTATAACTGTGGCCCTGGTAGAGGGTTTATGGTGCCAGCGGTAGGCTGCTAAAATCATCTAACAAACGAATTCAGCGAGGATTATATCAAATAGGCACCCAGCAAACACTGTACGCTATCAGAACGTTTTTGGTTATGTTAAAGTTATCGTAATGTTATAATATTAATAACGTTATGTGTTTGATGGGTCATAATAGGGGCGTGCTTCCCTTCTCCCAGTCTGCATATGAATAAAATTTTCTTTTTACCTCCGCCAAGGAGGTTACATATGTTTTCACCCCTGTTTGTCTGTCTGTCTGTCATCAACATAACTCAAAAAGTTATGGACAGATTTTGAAGAAATTTTCAGGAACTGTCAGAAGTGGGCCAAGGAACAGATAATTAGTTTTTGGTGGTGATCTGGATCAATAATTAATCAATAATCAATAATAATCAAAAATTGCTGCCTTGGCGGAGGTCTGCGCTCTCGGAGTGCTTTTCTAGTTTCACATTCAATATTGCCGAAGGTAGCTAAGCAATAAATAATAAAACGCGATGCCCTTAACCCACGTCCATTCCTGGCACCTATTTCTGATATTTATTGCAGAACCGCTCCTGATGTAAAACCAATTGGAATAGGAAGCACCAACACGTTTTGGAGGAAGAAGACAGGGATAGTGGAGGGCGATAAAGTGTCCATGTATTTTGTGAAGTAATCATAGTAAATGTCAGTGCTGAATGCGAAGCCGGTCACCAGTTACACTGATGCATCTTGAGAGAGAGAGAGAGAGAGAGAGAGAGAGAGAGAGAGATTGTTTTGTGTTGAAAATTTTTTCCACACACAAACCGTTCGTGGGACACAGAAATTAACTATAAATTAATAAAAGTGAGACACTGTCTGAAGTACTTTATTGTTTTTTTTTTTGTTTGTTTGATAGCTCTTGGTTGACAAATGGAGGCACCTGCACAGGTGAAAATGTAAGGTACGAAAATTGCTTTTAATCGGACTTCGCCATGTTTCATTCAGACGCACAGCTGGCGGGAAATTTTTGGTTCCAGTGCCAAGAAGCAGCCTAAGTGCACGACGTGAGGTCGCAGCTGGTGACATCGGTGACAGGATATCTCCATGTGAAAAAAAGCGAGCTTCAGCCTTTGGGCCCAAATCTATACATATGTGACATCTTAGGACATTTCCACACCGAGCGGTATGCTTCACTGGACCGGTCTACTTTGAGAGATTGACAACTTCACCAGTAATTATAACCTGGCTACTCTGTAAGAGAGTCACTTAAACATAGTTCTCGGACATTTGAATTAACAACAAGGCGTAGACTTGTCTGGAACTTTTGAAAGTGAATAAAAACCACTGTAGCGTAATAACATGCTTTGATCTCTCAAAGTGGATCGGTCCAGTTTAGTTTAGTATACCGTTCGATGTGGAAGGGCCTTGTTGGGTGGAATAACAACGTTGCGCCTCATTTACTTCAAATGAAACAATATCGGGAAAAAGTCCGCATAGTCGCTTGGTACACCCTAAGGACTCAATGCCATTGAATCTCACTGAATACAATCAGATTAACAGATCAACCCGCCTCCCCTTGTTTCCAACGTAGTCTTATTCCCAGACATTTAGATCGATCTATCCCAGTGGGGAGTCTCTCACTAGATTACTGTCAGATAATCCGGCTTAAATGTCCGTCCCGCCTACTACAAGCTGAAAGGGGGTAATTATCTTTCGCGCCCGCTCGGCTGACAGCTATTTAGCGTGAACCCCCAGGGAGTTAGGTCGATCTAGTTTGGATCGATCTAATCTCTGGGAATGGGGTCTTATAATCACCAGCTTTTCTGTATCCTAACTCTGCACTTAACGCCAGGAGGAGGCGTGTTAATCTGGCAACCTGATTGCATTCAACGAGAGTCCCCGCGGAGTTGGATCAATCCACGTAAAACGGCAGTTTAATTGGGAAGGGGCCCTTAAATTACCGCAGGAAACTGAAAAAGACCACTACACGTTTCAACCGTTGCCTCTCCAATCTAGCTCTGCTCGAGATGTTTCACACGGACCTTCCTAGACATAATGATAGATTGTTCTTGGAGGAAGTAATGTGTGCTTCAAGCGATAAATGATACAATATTTTTTCCGAATAGGCTAGATTCGTTGTCTAATTGCCAGAGAGAAGCAGGAAAACCCCGGTCCATATTCACAAATGGCGCCTGCACAAATGAGCGTAGACGGAAAATTGGTCTGAACACAGATGATTTGATATAATACAATAAAGGTTAAATCAATTGAGAGACAAACGTTTAAAATAGAAGCGCTTTCAATTTCTACAAACAGCACCAAATTTCGGACATTTTTTTTTTTTTTTTTGTGAAACCGTTATGACAGGAATGGTAGTCCGCTGAAAACCGTAGTCTACAGGTAACACTCGCCCCATATACCCACCCGATAGTTTAGGTCATTCCCAATCTGTACCAAACTTATTATGGGACCCCGGACTCTCAGGGTGATTTCATGCCCTCGAAGTTGTGCCTATAATCGATGTCAATCGCGATACTCATGCGTACGTCTTTACGCTATGTGTGTGACAGCGTCATAAGGCCTCTTTGTACTCATCAACGACATATTTGAAACTGGATTTTGCACAGTTCAACGATGCCGTTTTGCTTAAGTTAACGATTAAAAGATAATACTATTGATAGCTATTAATTGTCTAAACTTCCTATTTTTACGGATTAATTTTGTTTATGGAAACAATTCACCTTTTGATATCTGCTCAGTCAGACAGCCTTAGGCAATCGTGGAGATAAGGTACTTATTTTTGGCGAAAAAGTTTTTGCGTTAGGTTCCCACCGTCAGTTAGAAAATAAGGTACCTATATTTAACGTGCTGCACATTAAATAACGCCTGCTGCATATGTAAACGCGTTTGTAAATTGCCTGTGTGAGCTTCAGGGGAGATAGATACGGTAGGAGTTTTTCCCTAAAATAAATATTGTCACATTATGTCATAATGCTGTGGCATCAAAAATACGTCGGGATGAATTTGCTCACTCCAGCTTACAGCATGAATGTACCTAGCTATAGCTGTAACGTGTGAGAAAAATTAACACTTACCACCTAGCGAGTTCAGTCTCCCTACTCTACTCTACTCTACTCTACTCTACTCTACTCAAGACTAGACTAGGAAGAGAAACAGAAACATAATATTACAGCATTCCAGACGTTACATAAAATTGATAACTCATAACAGACAGCTGCACACAGTGATGTATTCTGATGTTATAAATAAAGAATGACTTCTGGGGTGCGAAATGTATTGTAATCTCCGGCTGACGAATTGACATAAATCTGATAATGTGTGAAGTAGCCTACCTTAACCCACCCTGAGCTTCAGAGATAACTTGACACTAACCTCTTCACTATAGCCTATCTTCATCGTGTCAAGTTACAAGGCTATTGTGAAGAGGTTAGTGTCAAGTTATCTCTGAAGCTCAGGGTGACCTTAACCACAAAAAGGGGCAAAATGCGCATTACCAACTCTACATAGCGATTTTGGAGGAGATGTAAAAACAAAATCAATCTATAACATAGTAGCCTCGGCCATTCTTTTAGCAATACATAGGAAAAAAAACTGACAAGGAGGCTTGTTTCAATTTTTGTTCGTTTTGACACAGGATACTTTTTTATATGATAAGGGGGGGGGGGGCGCAGTTAATTTTTCAGTCCATTACTTACTATAATGACAACTATGGTTATATCCTGAACTAAAGTAGGTCTAATTTTGGGTCTAGAAAAGAAAAGAAAAGAAAAAAAAAACAAAAAACAGCTAAACCCAAGCCAACCAACCCTGTGATTTTACTAATGACAAAGGTTAACCCACGTACATGTACAAAAGCCTACTTAAATTTCCCTCGTCCGCGGTTTAATGTTTCTCTCTTTTCTTGGCAAATTTTTCCTATTCTTGTTTTACAACCAGCGATAAATATAATATATCTAGCACACACGCACGCCACGCACGAATGAAAGTTTATGAGCCGTTGTATTATCAATTACAGCAAACGGCAGCAAGGCGTACGTGACATCCATTCGCTCCGCACTCGCAGACATCGCTTACCATAGGTGTACATGTAGGAGCCCGCTAGTACGTTCTTCGCCAGGTTCTAAAACAAGAAAGCGGTAGTGATCATGGGTGTGTCCGAAGGTTCATTGGCCAAAAGGTTCACTGGTCCGAAAAATCGTACCATTTTCATTATTTATTAAGGGTTCGTTGGACCGAAGGTTTTATAGTGAACATTCGGACCAAGGAACTTTAGGCCTATTGAAGTTTTGGACTATATTGTCATATCTATTTTTTTATAAGGCAACAAGGGTGCAAAAATCGCAAATGTCTTGCCTTAATTAGTGCTGATCAGGCAAGGATTCAACAGAATGAACCTTCGGAATAAAAATGGTCAAATGCCATTTCAAGAAATAACTAATTATTCGTCCACTAACTTGGACAAATAAAACGACAGTCAATAGAATTACTCTTCAGATATCGAATTAATCACAAAATCAGTAAAATATAAGTTGGCAAGCGATATAAAAGGGTATTTATTTCGGTAATGTTTGTGACATGTGGCCTTACATGACATCTGATACTGACCTGAGCTAACACATTTCAACATCTTGAGTCCTGACATGGTACGTCACTAGACTCCAGTCAGTATTATATGAAAGTTCATGACGCACCCATAATTGCTTTTTAAAGTAAAATTAAACAACTATTTTTGGGGAAAAAGGTACAGTGTACATGCACATTTACAACATAAATATATTATATTTGTTTACTTATCAATATTTTACCTTCTAAAGTTGTATTTTTATGAATATCATAGATCAATATAAATGCGAGATATATGTTCCTCATGACAAAGGAAGTAAACATGACTTCCCAGGAGCAGAAGTGACTCTCCAAAGGAATATTATTTTCCACTTCCAGCTTACTGAGAACCGAGAGAAAATTTTGAAACGCAATATCACTTGAGTCAGTCGCTTTATAGTTGCTGCAACAAGCTGAAACTGATGTAGATTCTGCTTAAACTTTGCCGGCGCAGACGTCGCACTCTCACCAGCAAGGCCAGTGAGTGTCTGCCAAGTTTTCATTTTAGCTTACTAGCAAAATGGGGAACCAGCTGACGGGGGCAGCGCCGCTGCAGATCCTTCCTGTCGAACACTATTTAACAGATCTGCCAGAGTATGATTTTGTTTGCAGGTGGGTTCATATTGTGTCGACACAATTGACAATACACAGTATGTACCAGTGCATATTACAGTACACTTACTGGGCTATACACAATATGCAGTACATATGTATGCACAATATACAATACACATACTCAAATATGCAATTTACTGTACACATGTGCACGTCATACATGTACAGTACACAGATTGGATAATTTTCATAAAATTATATTGTTGTAAGACAGTTTTTTTGTTAGACTCATTGATAATCGTTATTATCAGTTATACATGTGATGACTGACAGAGAGAGAGAGATAGACAAATAGTTAGATATATATAGATAGAGATAGAGATTGGGATAGAGAGAGAGAGATTGAAAGAGAGCGAGAGATGGAAAGATTGATGATTAACTTATACATTTTTGTGTTCTAGTCTTGGCAGTACAAGGTTCTTCAAGGTGGCCCAGGCCAAGCACAAGGAGGGCAATGTGGTGGTGAAAGTGTTTGTGGTCCATGACCCGTCCCTGCCGTACACGTTACACGGGAAGAAGATAGAAGGTGGGTGCTGTTCTTCTGATATAAAGGGTAATTCATTAAGTGGGTGTAGGGCCCCGTACTGGGGGAGGGGAGGGGGAGGAGTAGGGTATGCACTTGCTATGTGGGTATTGATGATAACTTTCTGGTCTGTTGAATAGTAATATAATTGATTCATGCTGAAGACATTTGAGTTGACGCTTTAGTGTAATGTTTGAAAATTTGAAAAAAATAAAGGTAGAATTTTAATTTTACATTGACGTAATTTACTTTATAGTGATCTTTAACAGTGGATCGTATGTGATAACTTCAAGTTGCTCCTACGATATGGCTTTAAGAGACATATTTGTGCTGTAGATTTGTTCATTAAATCTTTTGTTACTTGTAGAAGTGAACATGAGGCTGTTAAATGCCACCAACTGTCTGCCATTCCAAAAAACTGTGGTAAGTTTTGGTTAAAAAATTATGAAAAATGAGGAATTTTATAAGTTTTTAACTGGGCACTTCTTTATTGTATTCCAAAAATTTTTAATAAGCTGTTAGAGAAGATTTGGTTATTTTTGTAATTTTCTTTTCTTTTTGAAATTTCGATAAGCTTAAGTGTCACACTGAATTAAGGAACTGTAATATCAGTGTAGTCACATTACTTGTAAAGTTTTCATTAAGACAACTGCATTCAGACCATCAGTAGTATAACATAAGCCCAAGGAAACCATTATCTTAATATATGCTAATCAGTTTAATAATAATAATAATAATAATAATAATAATAATAATAATAATAATAATTTACCCCAGCCGTGAAAGATGTAATGATGATGATAATATGAAAATAACAAATGGTAATATTAGCAGTAGTTCTAATAATAATAATAAAAATAAAAATTGTGATATAAATAATGATATTATTATAACAATGATAATACTCTATTTTGTTGGATTACCCCAGCTGTCAGAGACGTCCAAGGCAGCCTTCATCTTCCGCCAGTTTATCAAGGACAGTCTGTATGACAGGATCAGCACACGGCCCTTCCTGATTGCGATAGAGAAGAAGTGGATTGCGTTCCAGTTGCTGTGTGCTTTAAACCAGTGCCACAAGCTGCAGGTAGGCCCCTCTTCTGTATAGTTATGACTAACTGCTTATTACACCAAACTCAATAGACTAAATAACTGACTAATTTGTATGCTTTTGAAGTGGGTGTCAGGACTAAGTGTAGTATGTTAATTTACAGATAAGAAATGACATTTTTCACCATTAGTATGCAAGAGACAATAAAAACCCTGCTGTTTCACTGTAACCAATTTATTATCTCAGTATTGTCTTTCATCTGTTACTTATAATGAAGATTTGTATTATGTCAGGTGTGTCATGGTGACATAAAATCAGAAAACGTCCTGGTGACATCATGGAACTGGGTGCTGTTGACAGACTTTGCCAGCTTTAAACCCACATACCTACCTGATGTAAGTAGCTGCATGATGCTCAGTAAGGTGTACCTAACAAACACAGAACACTATTATAACGTTGCCATAAAGTAAATATAACAAAAAAACGTCCTGGGAACATTACGGCAATGTTATAAAATGTTCTGTGTTTGTTGGGTACACCTTACTGATATTCACATTAATTTTTTTCAACAGTTTTCCCTTTTTCACCAAGATGCACTATTATAATATTACTTTGTACTAGTATGTGCATTTTAAAGAGAACCTGTTATTATTATTATTATTATTATTATTATTATTATTATTATTATTATTATTATTATATTCACTTTTCAGGACAACCCAGCAGATTTCTCCTACTTTTTTGACACGTCGAGAAGAAGAACATGTTACATCGCGCCGGAGAGGTTTATCGAAAGCACAGGCATGTCCGAGGCCGCGCAGCGAGCTCGAGCTAGCTGGAGACACTCTGGGAATTTTACGAATAGAAACAGTAGGGTGGCAGGGACAGTTTTTTTTATAAGAGAGAGCTCCCTCCAGTCAGGGTGGTCCAACTCCAGTACCCTGCCCTAGCTACCTAGCCCCTTTGTCCCTCCATCTTCTGAAAAATCAAAAAGAAATCAAAATTCAGTCCATTCCATTTTAACTTATGCATATAATATATGATTTTAGGATAATTTATAAAATGCCAGCCTTCCCAATTTGATAATTTTAATGTTAAATGATAGATATCTATATGTAGCATGGTACAGGCCCCATTTTATGTGCAAGAAAGCATGCAACCATCGGAACTACTGAACTGTGAAATCTACAGGCATTTGATGATATCCTGATATATCCCCTTTATTAGAATGATTGTATTGGATTATTTTCATGAACAAATGATTATCTTTCCAGATGTTGATCAAATAGTTTATTTTGCTGTCCTGGTGACCTTTGAAAGTAGTTTCAAGCCTCTCATGCTCCCATTTCTACCTTGACTGTCCCACAAGTTCAAATTTTTTTATTAAGCTTAAAAGAAGAATGATTTGCTTATACCTAGATATTTTCCCAGAGTGCATCCATTTATTTTTGTTGCTTATAATAACCATAATTATATACATTATGATAATTATGGTAAATACTCAATATATTCAAACAACATGAATTGATAATTTTTTCTTCCCCAAAAGACGTTTTGTAGATGACTTTGAAAGGTTGGTTCAAAAGTTTTTGGGAACATTAGTTGGAAACATGTTTGAATGTAGATTGCAGAGAGTGTCTGAAAAACAATAAATTTTTAAAAAGTAAAATTCTGAAAAAAAAAAGCTGTTTGAATATATCAAGTTATTACCATAGTCCTACTCCTAGACATGTTTAACTTTTGGACAGAAAACTTTCCTTTGTTGTTGGTATGTAAGATTTAGTTTTTTTTTAGTTTGTAAAAAATCAAAACCATTACTTTTGTAGTCTTAAACATTACTGATATAAAACCACACACTTACTCGGACTACTTAAAATATGACTTGATAATCTGTATTTGGTGATAATTTTTAAAGATTTTCATACATAATTGGTAAATAAACACTGATATGAACTGTAAACTCACCTGAATTAAAGTAATCAAATATTGACTGGTAAATTATCAGTTAATTCTTAAAGCTATTTGACAAAAATTGAAATTTTACATTTACGTTATTGATGTGATATTTTACAGGCAAGAACAGTGAGAGTCAGGTCCAGCAGAACATAGACCTCACCACCAGTGTCATCAAGAAGGGAGATCTTAACTCTGCCATGGATATATTTTCTGCAGGGTAGGGACATAAATTATATGATGGATTTAAGATAATTGGATGGATTTATTTTTTCTGGGTATGGACAAAAATTATGGACATAAAACTATTACCTTCGCCCAAGGAAATGATCTTTTTTCCTTTATAAGTTTGCTAGATAACAGCCTAACTCAGAAAGTTCTGGACAGATTCCAATAACATTTTAAAGGTAGGTCCGAAATGTTCTCATCTTGAATTACTTGTTATTTTTAATCTCTTGATGTCCTGTCTTGTTGTCTTTTCAAGGTGTTCTCACCTAGACCCACGGCATCGGTGGTCTGTTTTGATTAATTTTACCTTGAATCAGGTCTTTTCCAGGTGATTCTTACTTGTCTTTCTGTCTCTTCCAGGTGTGTGATAACAGAGTTATTCACTGAGGGCACTCGTCCCTTTGACCTGTCCCAGCTCCTGGAGTACAGGAAGGGAGACAAGGACTGCTATAGTCCCTGGCAGATACTGGAGAGAATTGATGACAGACATATCAGGGTATGGTACTGTTTGCCGCTCTCAATCTAAAAATTGTTAATTTAAGCCCCCCCCCCCAAAAAAAAAAAATAAAATAATAATAAATAAAATAAAAATAAAATAAAATAAAAATTATTCCTAGCTAATCCTTTTGATGTGAGGAAAGTGTTATATTTTAATGTTTTTCCCCACACATGCTTGATTCAGTTCAGAAACTTGATTTCTTTAATTGGCTGAAATAATTCAATTTTTGGGTTAAAGGTAGTTTAATCCCAGATTGAATCCAGATGTGAGTTATATAAGTGATATAAAGAAGTTTTCGTATTTGATATGATTTTCTAATACATATCTATTTTTAGGAACTTGTGCGTAACATGATAGAACGCGACCCAAGACACCGACTAACAGCGGAGGAATACCTGATACAGCAGAGAGGGAAAGCTTTTCCAGAATACTTCTACACCTTTGCCAAGTTATACCTGCAGAGATTTGCCAGTGTTCCCATTATGTCCTCTGATGACAGAGTGATGAGGTAGGTTTATATACATTGTAATTATAGTAGGTTTATGGTTAATATCCTTATTAAACATGAGTCTGATGACAGGGTTAAGAAGTACTAGTATGCTGCAGTCTATTTTACAGATCATGAGCAGAGTTACTGTAACCTTTACTGCTTTTCAATCAATGGAACACACAATTAGACAACAGATCATGCAGATGAGTTCTTTTCTAGGATCAAGAAAGACTTGCAACAGATTTTCATCCAGCTGGGGGTCGATGAGGACCACCCAGAAAAGAACATGGGACTTGTGCTGTTTATATCTGTTATAACTTCTAGTTTGAGAAGTTTACATGTAAGTATCTGTGATAACTTCTAGCTTGAGAAGTTTACATGCAAGTATCTCTCTCTCTCTCTCTCTCTCTCTCAGACACATTAAAGAAATAAAAGATGAAATTTATGCACACCCAAATATACTGCAGTTGCTACAACATAATTCAAAAGGCAGGACAGTAATAGAGAATTTCATAGGTATAAGAATTTCTTTTCATTTCAATGGTATTAAATATTTATATTACTTTACTGCATGCATGAAATTGTCATGTCACTCTACTGGTGTGAAATTTGTGAATTTTTAAAATTTTCTTGTCATCCTCAGTATTGCAGTTCCAAATTGACAGCTCTAGAGATCATGCTGTCCTTGTCCAAATATGTCACCTCTGATGTCATACTGGACAGACTGGTCCCCTACATGGTAGGAAATAGAAAATAAGATAAATGTATAGAAATATAAGAATAGGAAATTGCTTTCCCTTGAGAACTAAGGGGAAAAAAATAACTGAACATGATAAGATTATTTATGAATTAGCATTGAAAGTGGAATTAAATTTTGATATTGCACATTATTATTTGATTTAATTATAAGGTAATATCAATTGTAAATAAGCCTTACTTAGCATCAGCTGTGCAGTCAATGATTTCTTTTTATTTCCCAGCTTTTGCTAGTTAATGACCAATTTGCCCGTGTTCGTGCAGAGACGGTGCGTGTGTTGACACATTCGTTGGACCATGTGAGGTCTGTCCCAAGGAGGTACGTAAAACAAAGACTGGTTTCTATTATAGAAAGAGGGAACCAGTTTATGATTTGACTTAAAATTTTTTTTGGCTTTAAGTTGTAAGATATGTGGCTGAAACAAAATATGGCTCAAGTAAGCCCAGTTGTAGTAAGTCAAAAAAAGAATTATATTCTTGTGCACTGTTTCATATTAAATTGATTATTGCCAATATTTAAAGAATAACCTTGCATATAACCACATATTTTTCCAGTGATGCTAATATTTTCCCGGAGTATATTATACCCAGCATGGTGAGTATACATATTATACAGCAGCCTCTTGATTTAATGCTTTATACTGACAGCCTTGGCATTGTGAGCTATAGTTTTAAAAGACGATAGATATGAGGGATTTTTTATTTGATCCAAACGTCATTTCTCTCAGAACTATTTTTTGGCACTGGTTTAAAGATCATTCATGTAGTTGGAAGTTTTGGTTTTCAGTTATAAAATGTAAATATGTCATGCAGAATATGTTTTAAAATTAAGTCTTGTATTTGAACTGTTTTGTATTAGAAGAAGTTAATATGGATAATACCATAAACACCACAAATTTCACTAACACTTCTGTAACATCATGAAATATGGAAACCACAAACACCACTTTGACTTCATGAAATGTGGAAAACACCACAATCACCACTGTAACTTCATAAAATATGGAAAACGCCATAAACACCACTGTAACTTCATAAAATATGGAAAACGCCATAAACACCACTGTAACTTCATAAAATATGGAAAACGCCATAAACACCGCTGTAATTTCATGAAATATGGAAAACACCATAAACATCACTTTAACTTCATAAAATATGGAAAAC